GTACTTCTTTTCTCCTTTTTTCATAGGAAATGAGATTTTGAGAAATTTTTGCAGACAATCGGACCCGCTTGTTTTGAATTGTTTGTGGACAAAGTCGTGTGAATGATGTTGAATCATAACAAGGAACACATGGCACTTCATAGCTCCCAAATAGGCCTGGATTTTGGCTTTATATAACACATCACATAGTATACCTGAGTTACATGCCTTCTACGGCAATGTCACGGAAAAAGTGTTCGTAAATTAGACTTTAACGTTATCGTGGGAGTTTTAACCATCGTCTCGATTTTGCGTTTTTCAGTGGTTTTGGAGGTTGGATGAAAAGCAAACGAAAGGTCGAACTGTTTTTGAGAAAAAAGCGTCGTTTTTTATCCAATCGGATTGGTTCAGTGGCGGTATGTCCACAAGTCGGGGAAGCCGTACACACTCTTCCGCATCAAGCGACCATCCCATGTGTGTCCTCCTCTCACGAGATGGTACGTACATACCAGTACAGCAACTAGCATTACGACATGTAAATGCTATTGCACGTGTCGGCATTGTGTGTTTGCGAGGAGGCGCATTTCCTACATGTATACTAACTACCAGTAGCACATACTCCGTGGACTTGAATATCCCCATGTTAGTGTCTCGCCCTGTTCTTGGTGTCGTTGGACAACCCATATCGATGCAGGATCTCGTCGATGGTTTCGTCCTGCTCTTTTGTTTGGTACTGTGTCGCCACGCGCATCTTGGTGAATGATCGCGTCCATTCGCGCTTGCGATACATGGCCGTGGGGTGGTTCTTGGTGCTCTTGTACCACGGCCCCTTGTTGCGCGACGACGCGTAGAACCATCCGTTCATGTCGAGGTCGTCGATGATGTCGGGGCCGCTGAACGGATGCAGCGTCACGACCCAGCCTAGCGCCGACTCGTACCCCTGGGGAATCGGCGGCTGCGACGTGTACTCCTTGGACAGATGCTTCCATCCTTGGAGGAGCGACCACGATTCGAATTCCAGCATCGTTTCCACGATCTGGTCTTGGGTTTCGACGCCAGTGATCACTTCCACAGTCACGTGGAGCAAGCTGTCTGCGTTTTGCTTGGTAAACTCGTCGGGAATGTCCAACGGCCACGCCGCCTCGACGACACCGCCCTGCTCCATCTCAAACTGTGCGAGCGCGATGTACGCCTTGCCGATCAGGTCGTCCGGCGTTAGCAAGTCGTGGTCGTATACCTCCACAATCAATGCTTCTCTGTACATGTCTCGCTCTGTGAGGTGGAACTCAAAGGCTTCGTACCCCCACACCGGGTTCAGCGTGGACGAGATGCATGTGCTCTTAAACTTTTTCTCGCCAATAGACAGCACCACGTAAGGATCGCTCTTGCCTTCCACGAGTCCAGGGATACCATAGTCAGCTGCCACGAGGTTCGTCGCTTTGTTCAACTTCACGCGCAGGATGCGCACAGCGGACGAGCTGCCAACGTCTGCCATACTTACTCGTTCTGAGTGTTGCCAGATGATTTGCGGCAGAGAAGAAGTGTATCCGGAATTCCGGATAAAAGTAGCCAAAGAAATTGAAAGCGATTGTGTTTGATGGAGCTGTCTGTGGCCGTCTAGAGGGAACTTAGGTCCAGACTACTGTAGGTATACAGGTCCAGCCCTACCATGTCCATTTGATCGATAGTACATATCTTGTATATTTCAAGACTCGATTGACATCGTTTGAGATGGAACGTTACTTTAAACGTTGATGATAACTGATGCCCATGTTAATCATAACCTTATAACCTTTCTAGACTAGAAACGAACCAAACCCAAGTTCATGGTAGCCGTCTACCGGTGCAGTTGACGAGAGTACACAAGGAGTCATGTGGATTGGTCGTGCGCTGCAGGTCCCCAAACGCAAGACTACGCTACAGTCTACTAACTTCTGGACTGGACGTCACCACATAAAATTATGCCATAAATCGTTTTACCGTTAACAAGCCTGCATAAATTTCCCAAAGTTTCATATCCCATGAAAAAAAGGAGAAATGGAACTATCTACAATGTTGTCTGGATGCCAGCCAGCTGTATTGTGGAAATATTATTTGATGTCCAATTCAAATGCAAGACTTCAACGTGAACACATACTGTACCTCCATTCACAGTTGGACCAAATTGGTCCATTTTTATGCCATAACTTACCCAATTCTCAAGAAAATGGTGGCATAATGTTTTAAAATTTGGTGGAAAACGACCATTTTATGCCATTTTTCAAGCATCCAAACCCGCGCCACACAATCTCCTTGATTGCACAACGTTGCAAATCTTATAACTCAACGTTGGGATTGCAATATTCGCTACCACAACGAAACAGTTCCTCTCTAATCTAGTTAGGTGAGCGGCGTACGTACAGTACATCACTATAGTCTGTACTGAATTGATAGGAGATGGGCTCTTCACAGCAACGTAGGACTTTCCTTTGCAGACTACCCCATGAGCAACAAAAAGTGGTGTAATCGTAACGTTACTGAAACAAAATTATTGAGTCCTCTTGGCACATCACTTGTCCGAAGTAGGGACTGAAGACTACTAGTATACCGGTAGTGCTCTGGAGTAGTACTACATAGTATGAACTACTAGTAGCATTTCAGAAGTGTACAGTTTTCATTTCCCAAACCGGTAGGTTTCACATATCCCTTAATGTACCGTGCATATTACACAGTACGATGAGCTGTATGTACTGTTCTCGAATTCCAACACACTACCGGATCGACACACGTGTGAAATCAACAAAACCTCCATGGTATACTTTCAACGTTCGTTTAACGCTCCACCTTAACCTTCCCTGCCTCAGAAAATGACAAACGTCACGGGGTTTTGGGGCTCGGCACATTATCTGGATACATCTAAAAAGAATCTATTTATAGCATTCGTGTTAAATACACATTTGTCAAATGTCTATCGCAGCACGGGATTGGTACCGGTATGCTCGATAATTTCGCGTGGTGGCAAGTGTTACATCTGCAGCACCAACGACCAACTCAACGCGTGTAATTTCAACTTTTGGAATTGCAAAGATCAATCGATGGTCAATTTACAGTAAGTACTTAAGGTATACCTTAAAGTACCACTGTAGTACAGTACATCAGCATCAACTTAAAGTATATGTGGCGCCATATCGCGATAAGTATGCAAAAGGAATCTTCGCCAAACATCTAGAACTAAATACCTGACAGCTCGTATCACGAGCCTTGAAAGCAACGACGACGACGAGGATCAATAGATTCCCAACGGTGACTGGCACACGTCGATTCAAATCCACTTCATGTTCAGAAGGGCATGCTCGTCAGTTTTCGTACACACCATACCTGTTGAAAACGTGAAGTGTTTATGCTACTGTCTGTAGCTACGACCAGATTCAGAATGAATGACTCCACTGCACAAGACACGCAATAAAGCTACCACCGATTTCATCAACTGCAGGAGACTAAGCGCGTGCAAGTTGTCATCAGTTTCCAGGCTGAATGAACCCAAAGTACAGAATCCAAGCAGTGCTAGGTATATATTACAAGTTGTTGATTCCATGATGAATAGTAGAGCATTGTTGAAACCGCTATGGAAAAGTGGGTTCACCCAATTTGCCTCGTAGGCTTCACTGTAACTGCCAATGTTACACCAGTTCGCACTGTATTTTCCTCATGAAACATACGCTCAACAGTCGTACATATTGAGTGCTACTGCCTGGGAGAAAAAATCTGAGACTGAGATTTCCACCACTTTTGTTTGTCCAAGTTGATAACATGGTCACCATCGACCTGACGTCGGTCGTCGCCCAATGATTCACTTTTGAAATTCCGTTCCCGCAACAACTACCTTCCCCACCATACCGGTAGTCATGCTCGGCCAAACCTCCACGCACATGTCCTATTCGTTGCAATACGACACCCTCGAACAGCCGATGGAAGGTCGTACAGACGATGCCAACCATATGGTCCAGCAACTCATCGCGACTCCGCTCGTCGGGAAGCGTCGCATGGGCGAATGGGCGCAAGCCGAGATCGATTACGCCTACCACATGTCCACTGCGTTCAAGGCGGGCCTTTTCGACGACGGCATCCGCAACCGCGAAAGCGTCCGCCTCTGGCTCGCGAGGCTGCTCAACTGCGCCCCCATGCGCCTGAGCAAGAAATTTAACCGCAAGTCCAAACTGCTGGGCATGTACTTTTACAAAAAGAACCACGCGGCTCTGGACGCGATGTCCCCCCAAGACCGAATGGACCGATACGATGCCATGGAAGCGGCGCGCCTGCGCTTTATCAAGAGCATTGGAGGAGGCTACAAGCAGCAGCACACGCAACCGACGTTGTTGTGTCGGCGACCACACGTTCGAAGTCCAAAGAAAGCAACAGACAGAACAACCGCGGTGCAATCATCGCCAAAGAGCGTGTCCTGTGTGGAGTTGCAAATGGGGAGCGATATTTTGTCGGACCAAGGCATGGCTGCGATGATCATGGACGATGGACTGCCAGTGTGGCGACACTCCATGGACCTCTCGGTGATCGATATGACCGACTTCGATTACTTATTCGACTACGTTGGCATCGAAGGGAATTGTGGCGACATGATGGAGGTGGTTGTATGTTAATACAGCAAGTGAATTATTGAAAGCTTATGTTGATATTAATGTTTCTGTCGGCATTTTCATATTGTGGTTCGCTGATGCAAGGCAAAGTGGGAGGTCGAAGACCGTGCTTGGACTTACTACAGTAGTACTGTACGGCAATTTGAACCACATCTGTCGTGGCTACTGCACTGTTGGACGGTTGAGTAGTTGCATCTTCAACAACGTGGTGTGGTGGTGAAGGGGGTTTATTGTGGTTACATCGCTGATCGTCGCAATGGGGAGTTAGTGTATATAGAGTGCAGGGACCAACCCTATTGGTAGTGCGTCTTATTCACACTGTCAATTCATAGTTGGCCACTTTGCACAACTAGAATATGACATCCTGAAATGGAGAAGTGCAAGGTTACTTGTAACTGCCAGTGGATCCACGTCGGACGATTGCTACATGTACTTGGTATCCCACTCTTGCTGTTGGCCACTTTAAGGCCACTTTACTCCCACTCTGCAAAAAGTAGCTTTGCTAGCTCAGATTGCTAGAAGATGTACTACGTAGTGCGCAGCATTGGTATAAATGTCCAACCCCCTTTTGCCCACAAAAACATCATTCGACATTGAATGACATTTTCAAAGTCACCTATCAACGGGGGACTAGGTGTTGACTTGCTCTGTTGAGGTCCCCAGGTATACACACGGCCACCTGCAGAAAAATTCCAAAGCTAATCGATGGCCGCATAATGACGGTGTTACGGTTCAGCCAACACCGACCACGCAACAGGTCCATCTCCTTAGGCCAGTTCTTAACGGATGGATCCCCCTAACTTGCAGTGCAACTACTCCATTGTTCAAATGTTGCGTTGATTAATTGGAAGTAACTTATACGTGTACAGTATTGCGACGGCACCGTACAACAACAGGCACTGACTGAATTCTGTGTGTGGGTGTTCTGCTGGGTGATAGGTTCAGATTCATGTACTACGTAGTACCGTACGATAAATGCTGATATGATGTGGCAAATTGAAGGATCTCCAGTGCTCACTTCAAAACAAACGGTGCGCTAGTCAATTCGACGAAATTACTTGTAACATTACCGGAACACGGGTAATTGAAAAAATAATTCCCAGGACAATCACACACCATTCGATAGAGAATCTTGCGTTGAGTGCTACTAGTATAATACTAACTGTAAATACACAGTACCCAACAAGATTTTGTTATCGTATTCCCAAACAATCGACTTACACTAACTTGAATCTAAAGTCGAGAATTGAGTTTCCAATGTTTAGGGTCAGCCAACTCTGCTTCTTTTACGTCTCAGTACAACCGTGGGAGAGACGTTGTAGTCATCACACAATGTTGTGGAGTGATAGAGCGAGAAAACTTGATCTGCAAACTCACGTCGATTTTGTTGGTGGATATTTGGCATCAGTAACGTCATACAGTATTAGTACGCATGTGCACCGTTGCTAAATTGCCGAGTACTACAGTGTATAAATATGTATAGAAGGCGTAGTCGAAGACGGTTCCAACTCTATTGTCCACTTCGTACCACGTACGGTTTGATATGCAGGTCTTGGTGACATTATTGTCAAGGTGTTGGCCGTATTTGCAGGCACAATCATAACGTTAACTCGTTTTCATTGGTTATGAATGGATATCAGCGACAAGTCTATTGATAGCCCATGTGCCCTTTACACATGTCAAAAGTCCATCAAGCTCACTCCGCTCGGGTATTATGCATTAAGTTTGTGCACCCCATTTGCCTCCGTTCCAAGGTACAGTAGTACTACGTAGCAGTAGCCGTACTGGAACTAGACGGCTACAATGTCGCTCGCACACTTCAGTACAACGTGGGTAGATATCAAAAGTGCCAACGACCACTTGCCTGTGTGTAATTCAACGACGATAACTCTGCGCGGATCGTCGCCTGTGGTCATTAATTGTACTGAAATACTAGTATATATAGTAGCTAGCGATGGCCCAGCCCGTCCAACTGCACAGTACGTCGTCATGCAGAAGAAGTTTGACTACCCGGTAGGGGCACCTGGTGAACCTTGACCCAAATTTGATATTGTTGGTGTGTGTGGAATGCGTCAGAGTGAGAATATTGAGGTGGTCTACGTATAGCACGGTCGTGTGGTTGAGATTCGTCCCCTTCAAGAGGTATCGAATTGCAGATGGCTGGTTGGACGTGTGAATCCACGCGATAAGTTTCCATAAGTTACGGCGCTCAATGTGCACCTAATTACGTTTATGGCCTGTTGCGTGTTCGAGGCGGACATGGCAAGAAAATCGATTTTGTGGGCAACTTCATTGTAGAGAGAGAGTACATACTGGACCCTTCTAAACGTCCGCAGTTCACGGGGTGTATGGTTGACGACATACACTGTACTGTATAGTCCTAAGTCTCCCCACCATGTTTTTAGAAGGACCAACCACAATTCGATGTAGAGTACATACACAGTTGAGCCAGCGCCTGCTTTAGTCATACTTCGAATTAACTATCATGAACCATGCAATGAACCGACTGCAAACATGCCCAGGAGAGGAGGCTGCGAAAAGTGGCTATGTTGTGATCCTCGGCGAAATAAGCGAGGTTGAACGTGCCTGCTGATGTGTTCAAGTGTCTTCGCACTTTCCACAAGGAAAAGTGCGTCGATGCGTCTCGCAAAGCTTGGTTTCCCTTCCACTAAGACACGGAAGAAATGATATGTCTTACTGTTAGCTAACTTTAGCGCTTTCCAGCTAACTTCAGCGCTTTCCAAATTGCTCCATGGATAGACAGCTCTGATGATCGACCAAGTGGAAAGATGCAGTGCAACTACGAATTCGTACATAGATTGCATTCAAGATGCGATGGAACCCGTACAAAAGGAGGGTAACACTGATAGTTTCGTCCATTGTATACGTATAGTATGTGGATGTTCTGCTGCCTATTAAAAACAGACAATATACGATATGTAGTGGCAAACTGAAGCAAAGCCAGGAACGTTAATCACTTTAATATCAATAACTACTTCACGTACTGTAGCACTAATGGTTGAAAACTGACTCCTTCATGCAGTCGATTTGCCAGCGCTCGCCTACAGCAATAATATTCACCGCCGGTTGTTTGCAGCTCTGCGGTGGGAGCGACTTGGCAGTCACCCACACGTGATATTACGTTAACGAGAATACTAGCACCTGCAGCTTTCATTTTCACGTCGTCGTCGATGGCGGACATTTGACAACGGAAGCGTCATGCGCCTGTGCAATGTGTTATGAATAGATACTACTTAAATGAGGCTTTCAACCGACCAGCCAGAATAAATTAGTTGAAGAGTGCCGCCAACTCCACCACATACTGTAGATGTAAGTTACAGTACCAGTAGGTAGTCGTACGTGAGTTGTGCTGTGGACAGTTCGAACAGTACAATTGTCCATCGTTTTCATTGGTTGCTTTGCTTGATTGAACAATACGGATAAACACTAGAATCTATTTATAGCTGAAGTTGCACTTCACGTGTGCCAAATGCCCATCGACTAACGTTGAAAGCAGACATGCTCTTTTGATTAAAATGAAGGCGTATTGTGTATTACACGTATGTAGTTGTAGTAAGATCGTGCACAACGACCGTCTCGGTTCAGTGATAGTCGTACTTCTTGGACCTGGTGGCTACTTCGTCCTCCTACTCTTCCTCCTTTGATATCAGATGTGATCACGACCACACTTGGGTGTGTGTGCAATCAAGGGCAGGATGGCTCTGTAAAGATCTTCGCCTTTGGTGAAAATACGGGCTCACATTTCATCACAGCGATGAGCGATGGTTTCCAAATGTCGGCATGTCAAATGCGGAATCATGTCAATGTCTTGTACACTGTAGTACACTTTTGGGGGAGTTTTGGCTCAGAGGAACATATTTGCTGGAGTACCACGTAACGTTACCGGTACGCGTGATTATCAACCTTCCCTTCAAGATTTATGGAGTTGCGATTAGCTTGTTGGATATGTAGAGCCATGCGTTGCAGCGGTAAGATTCCATCGGGTGCTCAAAAATGTGTTTAATCGAGTACATGAGCCCGTGCGAATACTAGTATGTGACGGCCATGACAAGGAGGAAGATGTGCAGACAGATCCACCGTTGACAGGAATGTATGCTTTCTGAATCTCGAGGGTTCACTGTGGCTGTACAGCAGCGAGTACTGTAGATTCCCATTATTGGTTTTCAGCAGAATCAACCCTCCACGTCTGTACATAGCATGGCAAAGTTGAGCCAACGCCGAGATCATCGCGATCCAGTCCCGACCCTAAATTGTATTGTAGGAACCATCCATAACGATGATCATTCCTCAATACTTGTAGATTCACGTTTGTTTCCACATCAAGTAGATATAATACAGCGTACTACAGCTGTAGTACGTATTACTGTATTCGTTGAGTGTAAACCACTACAATAATGTCATTCCACAAAGTACAACTTTCACTTTCGTGAAGATGTGTAACAACCCTCCAATGATTATTACCACATACCTAATTCGCAGACTGCATTGTAGTAAGATACAGTTCAGGTTCTCACTGGAGCAAACAAGTATCTCGATATCCTTGAGCAAACGATATACGCTTGAAATGCACGATCCTGAGACTGAGATTTCCTACGCTCACCTGTCGACGCTTCCAACTTGACCTATTCCACAATCCCCACTCTGTCATAACTCAAATTGCCCTTCGCCACCACGAACATGGTCCACACATTCCAAGGCCTCCTTGAGAAACCTATGAACGCACCAGAAGCCATCCAGCTCGTTGCGACGCAACTGTACGGGCGGCGCCGCATGGGTGCGTGGTCCCAAGCCGAAATCGACTACGCCTACCACATGTCAAGAGCGTTCAAGGAGGGCCTCTTTGACGGCGGTATCCCCGAGGGGGAAAGCGTGCGCTTGTGGCTCGCGAGGCTGCTCAATTGTTCCCCCATGCGACTGAGCAAGAAGTTTGACCGCGAGTCCAAGCTGCTGGGCATGTGTTTTTTCGCCAAGAAACAAGTGGCCCTGGATGCGATGTCCCCCCAAGAGCGACAGGACCGATATGACGCCATGGAATCAGCCCGCCTGCGGTTTATGAAGAGCCTCGGCAGCGAGAGGTATCACCAGCACGTCCAGCCTACGTTTGCGTTGAGGCAGCAGAAGCGAGCGGCCGTCGAAAGAACTCCCGTCCAGACCGTGAAACAAGAAACTTCCAAGATGGACGAGGTTGTAGCGTGTCGAGAGTCGCTGGATCTGTATTCCATTGACATGGTCGAGTTCGATCGGTGGTTGTCAGAGTTTGACGACACGGCGCTGAAGTACGAGCTCAGGGAATTGGAGATCGTCGTGTGATTCTGCCTCTAGCGTCGTCTATAATATATCATATTCTTCGATTGGAAGAGCCACCACCCCACTTGTCATTGGTACAGTTGTTGTAAGCTTAGATGCACATTGGGAACGAAGGAAGTCGATAGGGATGTAAGGAATGAATAATCTAAGCAAATTGCAATGATATTCCCTACAACACGAGGGCTCCTTATCATGTGGATGGATGCCTTTGCTGCTGGAGATGTAGAAATATCTAGTCAGAATAGAGTAAAGCGACGATGGTGAAACCAGCAATATTGAGAGCGTCAGACATGTTTATCTCGGCAAAGTACAGTAATGTTAGCTCTACGACCTGACCTTGAAGTACCTTTATACATTCGAATACCCAGTAATTAACTGTGAACTGTAGCCTACGTACAGTAGTGGGAGTACACAGTGTACAGTAATTATTACTCCGGAGTATGCAGGCGCAGGGGACTGGGGCAATACATATGCATTGTATTGAGCGATGCAATCATCACGAACCAACCCGCGACACATGTTGAACAGACTCACTAGCGCTTGATGGCATGTTGCCCGAGTCTTTTCTTGAGAAAACTCCATACATGTGTGTGATGCCGCCACAAAGCGAAGGCGACCACCAGCACCTTGAGGGCCCTGCGAAGGTGTCCGTCCTTGGCCCACACGATGGCCCACCAAACTGCCCACCACGACGTCGACGACGACGTACTAAAGATTTTGCGGCCACAATTCGATCGGTCCGACAAGTTGGCCTTGATGAACTGGGCCACAGAGTACGCCATTGCAAACGTCGTGACCATGGGACTACGTAGTACCATCATCCGTCAAATGTCCTTGCTGTTAGTAAAGCATAGAGTTTTCCACGTAAACAAAGAAAGAAAGGTGGTTCAAAGCAAACTCACTTGACACCCGAAGCCGTGGGAAACAAAGACGCATCCGCCACATATAGCCCCCTCACGTCCCAAGTTTCGCCGTCGGGATTCACAGCCCCCATTTCCGGCGTCGATCCCATGCGACAGCTGCCCATTTGGTGCGCGTTCATGATTCCGATGCTGTTTTGCACAGCTCCCAGCGCCCGGACTTGTGCGATCCACCGCTGCGTGGTGGCGCATTCGACTGGATTAGCCAGGTCTTCCTTCGACTGGAGACGCAGCGGCGGCAGGTGGAACTGGGTCGTGTTGACTTCCACGGCGCCTTGTGCCAGCAACACCTTGATGCCCGCGACGAGGCCTTCCACCAACGACTGGCCGTCCTTGCTGCCCAATTGAAAGTGAATGCGCGGTCGGCCTAAACGGATCCAACACGTCCTTAAGACTTTTGTGGACTTATATATACGAAACAAGAGGCCGAGTATTTCAGGTAGTACCGTCGGCGTCAATGACTACGCTGCTGACCGAATCCAAATCGCGAGCCAACACAATCATGTTGACCAATTGCGGATACTGCAGCATGAGCCGGTGCATGTCTGCGTTGCTCCGCCACGGCAGCAACGACGCCGTGAGCCCCATCAACGATGCCGGAATTTCCAGTCGCGCCCCATATCTATGCATATATATTGTGAACTTTCGAGTGAAATTTCGTGTTGTGGCGTGGTTTCTCGTTGGAATTTAAATCGATTTGATTGGCTACTTCAGATGAGCTCAAAATTATTAACCAATCAAAACCTTCTAAATGAAATTCAACCAATCAGATCGATTGTGGATCGGTTTGGTTGGCGCGATTCGATTGCACCCGCTCCCCAAATTTGTATCAAATCGACAATATACACATACATACATAAACGTACATGAGTTCAATTTTCAATTTTATTGAGCCCAAGATGCACCGATTGTTAAGTGTAAAGTCAGCCTCCTATAATTAGATTACTGAAACAAATATGATTTACAAAGAAAACCTTGCCGTCGTCCAAAAACTCAATTCTGAAGTATTATTGTGAATTCGCTATAAACTTCCAAAATTCGCGTGATTAATGTAATCAATATGGAATCACGCTGGTTTTCTGATTGACCGACTATTATTATCCTTTCTATAAGAGCCCATCAAATCCACTCAAAATTGGATTAGCCAATAGCGTTTCGATTCGGCGGCGTGATTCGATTCGACGGAGTCTGGAAATTCGTACCAAAACCACAATACGAATTGGCCACAAATTTCCCAATATTCTGCGCGATTCGTACAAAACCGTGCCGCAGAATGCACGAAGTAAAATGAAAAAACCCCATAATGTAGCGAATCAGCGACAAGCATTTTCAGATTGACCAATGGGAGCGATTCGTGATCGGTTTGGTTGGCGTGATTTGATTGAACATATACGAACTGTTTAATCAAATACTACGTAGTATTCAATTGCAAAAACGAATTGGAAATGTGACAAGGGGGAACCAATCAAACTCGAAACGTACCCGTGACCGTGGATATTGCGTACGACATTGCACACTGTTGTCAAGATCGACCCTGACCAACTTTGCACTTGTTTGTGTGGAAAAAACCCGTGTACGGTCGCCACTGGGTGCAGGCGCAGGTGGCGGCCGATGTTGGGGTTCCTCAGGCCGGATCGGAGCAGCAGCGCGGGGGTGTGGAGGCTGCCGGCGCAGCAGACGACCGTCTTGGCTTTGACCACGAGGCGCACGGACCCGTTCAGGACGGTGGCTTCTACGCCCGAAGCTGCGTCTTTCACATACGTCACTTTGTCTACATAACAGCCGTCGACGAACTTGGCGCCGGCGTCGGCGGCATCTCTTAGCCATGTAACGTGCGAGCCCTGCTTTTCTCCGTACGGACACCCCAACGTGCAGAATCCACACTCGTGGACGTGGCCGTTGGTGTTTTGCGGCACCGCTTCGACGGGGTACCCTAATTTGATCGCGCCGTCCAACAGTACTTGGTTAGGGACGTTGTGCAGCACTGCCTCGGCGGACACGCCTACTCAATCAACACGTGGGAGTACTCAGGATACTGCGAAAATGAAACAGGAATCGTCCTCATAGTGGTGGTCGTCGTAGCATCTAGATAGATGATGGGAGCTCGAACAGACCTGCCCGGGTACACACGGTGCTGATGGCGTCTTGGAATGCTTGAGATTTAAAGTACGGCAAGTTGTACGTGGTAGCCCATTCATGGCAAAGCTCATGAGGGGGGGGCAACGACGCACTCCTATACGTACGATATAGTCGGGTGTATATTGCAAACAACTTGTTTGAGGGAAATAAGCACCAGTTTATAAAGGTACCGCCGCCCCATGCAGACCCAGCTAGGAGCATCATGGACAGGTCTTCGGACGTGAGCAGCGCGGCGCTCTCGTAGTGGTCCCAGAACCCCTGGAGTTCGTTGAATGATGCATCTGCGGGGTGGAAGTACACGGCTTTTTCGAGCACGAGGACTCGATGTCCTGCCTGGGCCAATTCCGCGGCTAATAACACCCCCAAACTTATGATCTTCTTCACATTCAACCAATGTCGTGCACCCAAATCACTCGTGTAAGTTCACTTGACGAGTTCGTATAACGTCATTCATCCAAATGACATGCGATGACGTTATTATCGCAGGTACACGTACCGACGACACCGCCCCCCGCGCCAGAACCAATCACAACGACGTCAGTTTCGAGCGTAATCGGGTTGCCTTTCCCCGCTACCTTGGCCATCGCCGTCATGCTACAGGTATACCGGAGCGGGTGAAAGGAGTATTGGAATTTGGAGCGAGGGAACGTCATCATTGAGCTCACTCTTCAAACGTGGGTTCCCAGAACTGACTCCGTGGCGGTCGCTTCTTCTCCTCTGGTCGACCAGGGTAATGCAGGTTCTCCCACAGCGGGTTCAACTTGCCATGCACCGATCGGGTCTTGGCGAACATGCAAAACGACACGAGGGCTTTAAACACCTGGAACAACGACCGCACTTTGGCAAATGACGACAACGTGAGGTTCCGCAGCGCGTCTTCACGCTCACCGACAGTCAACTCGTGAAACGGCACCATACGAGCCGACGCTGTCACAACCTTGGTGCCCCACCCCGTCGATAGCAGGTACAAAACCTTCTCGAACTCGCTCCATCTGTCCTTGGGCAGCTTGTGGAGCATCACTTCGACGCTTGCAAGTAAACCAAGCTCCCGCGGATGGACTTGCGTTGTAGCCAGCAGCTCGTCCTCGGTCGGGGTCCCTGCAGCCTCGTCCGTGCCTTCAGACAAGTTCCGGACAGTGTCCATATGCTCCGACACGATGTCCTTGGCAACATCGTCAGGCAGTGGACCCACGATCGTTTCGGCGATCGCCAGAATCGTCGCATTTTGCGCGTCGGTCAACCTGAGTACCATCTTGCGTGTCTATCGGCAAATAAAATCCGTGGTAATACAGGCGGTTATTATCCGGATAAGTTGAAGTGTTGACACGACATTAACTGTAAAGGCAGCAGCAGTTTACTGGGAATGACACTAATATTAATGTTGAAAAATCTGTATTACTAATACTAGTGTACTAGTAAGTTACTATTAATACGTAGTACTATTAATACTAGTACTACTTTTATTTTATGAATATTTGACCTCAACAACACGTTATTAAAATACTGGTATTTATATACTTGAAGTATATTAATATATATTGCACCACTGGCAATGGTAGCCAGGGATCGTCAACAATATATTGACGTATCAATAATTGACAATACTATTAATATTGCGGGCAATAATGTATTGTCCGAGCCTACCAATATCAATAATATTGAACAATATATCAAAAACCAGGCACCCCACACCCTTACAAAATCGACCAAAACGTGGTTAAAGGCATGACGCACAACATGCAGCAGCCATATTGCCTAAAATCCCTCTATAACGCAAGATAGAGAGCTTTAAAGATCCGGAGTAATTATTCGATCTAATAACAATTAGTATGGACTAGGACGGTTTGAAGTCGCAAATTCGAAAAATAAACTGAATTTAATTAAACCAATACTAAAACCAAGTGATTTTTCGGTGTAGAAGGCAATAGATACAAATTTTAACTTTAAACCGTCCTAGTCCATACTAATTGTTATTAGATCGAGTAAGTACCAATGGTAATGTTGTTGCCAAGTACATTATGAAGGACATCTTCATTTGTTCCTAACCGTAGAATTGTTTTCGTACGGAGATAGGAGCCTTCTCCGAATCCTCACCCATGTATAACCTATTTAACGCATATTTAAGCTTGAAGTTTGTATACTTTGAAGCAGCGTTAAAGGATTCTGACTCCTGCTAAATCCTGTTTTTATCCTATTGTTACGTGGAATCAAACGTTAAACATCTATGAAGGAATCCATTGAATTCTCCTCGAAAAACTGTCTTGCACACTTGAAATTTCATGACAAAATTCACTTGCTCTAAGTATCGAATTCTTTGGGGTATGATGACTTTTGAGACCCACTGTACATGGATGGTAATGAAGATGAAAGCGATGAAGACATTGACGAAGATGATGAAGACATCGGATTTGACTTCGAGTAAATCGAACCTGAATATATAGGAGCCCTCCCTTATTTACCGGTTAATTAACCGGATGTTTCGTAAGTCCTTGGTATGGTGCATTTCATCTAAAGACTACAGATCGGCCATCCCCAGGAGGAGGCGTTTTAGTTTTAACGCCTCGGTTCTTTCAGTTAAACCCACCTAATGTTGACGTTAAATTATTATTACTTACGTTTTTATCTGTTAAATAGGTTAAACATCCTGAATAATCCGGATACAATGGAAACGTTCATACGGATAAGTGCTGTATACAAAGACCAAGATATACTTGATGCACCTTTTCGGCCAATATG